CGCCTCCCTCCGGGTCTCCCCTCTCCCAGCGCTTCCTCACCCCCGCATCCCTCCGTGGCGGTCGCCTCCCAGGTGCGGGCACCACGGGGGACTTCCCGGCTTGCATTTGTTTTTTTTTCCTCCCCCGTAGGAGGACAACCGTCAGCACTCGAATCGTATTGATCTTTCCTTCTTCCTGTCGATTTTTAGAAACGTATTCCAGGGAACTCGCGGAGTGCCCTGCATATTGCCCCAGGGTGGGTGCCGACCGAGGTAGTTTCTGGCAGGTATAGGAGGGGTAGAGCTTCCTTTTACATCTGGATTACAAAAAAAATCAAAAACCACCAAAAAACAAAAAAACGGGCTTTCTTTAGTGTAGCATCAGTTGGCAGTGGAGGCGAGCACCCTGCAGTTGCAGTACACTTACACAGAACAGCAGAAGGAGGGGGTTTCCACACTTACCATTATTAACCACAATAAAGGTGGGCAAACCTGAAAGCTTGTCGACTGTATCTGTGTAGTCAAAACAAGAGGGGGTGTGTGTGTGTGTGTGTGTGTGTGTGTGTGTGTGTGTAAAAGGGTTGAATTTTTAAATTTTTTTGTGACTGTGTGAGATTCTATCTGTTCCTCCTCCTCCACCCTTTGAGATATTGACTCCCCCACCTCCATCAAGATGTTGACTTTATTTTGGGCTGGCATATGCCTCTTGGCACTTGGGGATTTGAAAAGACTGCAAGAAATTTGGTGGGCATTATTATTCTGTAAGTGATTTATTTCTATCCAGGCAATGGGTTTATTAGATCATAAGTAACATGAATTTCACTTTTATGGCCAGACTTACTGCTAGGAATTGCAAACTGAGTTTGTAGGTTAGTATCAGCTCTGGCAAAATTAATTTGCCCGTGTTATTGCCTCATGAGACTCCCAGTCCTGCAGTTAACATTGACATCAGCAAAACTAGAAGGTCGGTGGGAGAGAAAAAGTGGGACTAGCAGTGGTGGTAAATACGTATGTTTCCTAGCGTCAAATTGTTCCCTTTTAAAGTGGAAATTAAAAGGTTAGCCTGAGTTTTGCTTTTCTTCACTGATTTTGCTTTAGTCATTTCTCTGAGAAATATAGAGTGTTAAACGTTCAACCCTTGGATCCAGGAAGAACCTTATAAACCATGTCATCCTGTTGTGTCATTTTGTTGGTGAAGAAACTGAAGCTTGGAAAGGTGAAGTGACTAATCCAAGGTCAAACCAGAAAGAGTTGCCTGGTCTGCATTGTCTCAGTGACTCTTGATTGATTATAGTCACCCTGTTTTTATATAGTGCTGTTTACTGGCTTCCTTTCTGAAATGAAATATATATGACTATAAAAGGGGGGAAGGATGGTGGTGAGTGGGTGGGAACATTAGACTTCCATCCACTATCAGTCCCTGGGCAAAGAGTGTGTGCTGGCACAGGTGGTGGGCATAGGCTGCTGGGGCATGAACACTGGGTTCTTCTTGGACCCAGATCCTTGTTCCCTTCCCCACCCCCATCTGAAACTTACTTTTTGTGTTGTTGAAGAGTTCAGCAAGGTCTTTGCTCTCAACAGGGATACAAGCATTTGGCTGTTGGAAAGTGGGGGAGGGAGGAGGAGATGCCCCCTTGTTCATTGGGTTTCTCCAGTCAACCCAGCTGTGCTGTGCTTTTGAATTCAGCACTCTGGAGCCCGGGAGTGAGGTGATGATGGGAGACAATCCTTCCCAGAGCTCAGGTCCCCTGAAGTTACAGTTTTGGTTGCGGAAAGAGCTTTCTGGTCTCAAAAATCAGCACACAGGTGCCATTTCTTCCTTGGGTTTGGTTTGTGAAAAGCTCCAGGAGATGCGGGCAAGTTGGAGATGAACTCTGTTCTCATTGGGAGTGACTCCAAAACCCTCGGCTTTTGTTTCTGGTCAGCCAGATTGAGTTTGGTTTAGCTGAAGGATGGCGAACTAGCTGTGGAACTCATAATGAGGAATTTCTACCAAAGGGTGGGGAGCAGGACTGTTTTCTCTCCTTTGTGGCTGCCTGTGCCAGTGGGATTAGCTTGAATCTTTAAGGATTTGAGTCAAATAAAAGGAAGAACTTCCGGGTATTGGGCTTTATGCTGCAAGTTCTATCTGGTGCAGTCCTTTCAGACTGCAAGCACAGGAATCGGTAACCGAAGGGGCTTGGGGTTCTCTTGGAGCTCTGGAGTAAAACATCTATTTGGAATGACCTTTCTAGCAAGCGTGACCATTTGCCTCTATTTTTCCTGGGGAAGACCTGGTTAACAAGTTGTCTTTGCTGTTTATGAATAGTGCCACCTTCACTCTCAAAGGTATCTGGATACTATGATAAATTATATGGTCATTCTACTTCTAGTTTAAGCCAAGTTCCGCCTTGTACTTCGGCCTTCCTCCTTTTCAACTTTTAAACCTAAGGAATCACAGTGTTTTCTGACAGTACTGCTTGAATTGAGTGTGGATCTAGGGGGGTGCAGATGGGGTGGGGGATAAGATTTCATTCCTGCTTTCAGAAAGCTTACAATTTATGGAGGAGATAAAGCAGATGCAGATTCAGTCATGTAAATATACCGAGATGGGACCAGTAAACACAGACACAATAAACCAGCCGCAACTCTACATTGTCCATGAGTGGGCTTTGTGATCTGGAGGGTATGGGAGATGGGGTGATAAGGGTGGTGGGCTCAGACACTCTGCAGCTTCTTGCCCTCTGACCTTTGAGTGAGGTTAAGAGGACGCAGGCAGCACAGATTGGGGTTGGAAGCTGCTTGAAGGAAGAAACCCCAGGGGTGATGTAAAGGCCATCAGCTTCAGGGAGAAGAGAAAGGAGGGCTTTTGCAGGGGAGTATTTGTATCTGAGAAAGAGCCCTGTGTTGTAGCCAATGTCAGTTCTTTATTCTCAGCTTTTCTAACCTCTGGAGTAAACTAGGCTTAGTTATTTTGACCATATTTCTCCTAAAATTCTCTGATGTGGGGACTGGCTACTGCCATGGTTACTTAGATGCCTGTTTGTAATAAGAAAATATGGTAATAGTGGTGAAAACAATTTGCCAGCAGATATTATGAGTCCCTGCTATAAAAGACCCAGTCCAAGAAGGGGAATTCCCTAATTCATGCCACGCTGAATTTTTTTCCTGATTTCATCTCAGCTCCATACCTCTGTGCCAGCATGCTTGCTTTTTCCTCTGCCTGACATGGCCTTTCCCTACTCTTGTCCTTGCCTGGAAAGCTCCTGTTCTATTATTTAACATCCAAGGAATACCTCTTGATATTCCCAGGCTTTGGTGGGAAGAGTTCTTTTGAGCTTGAATGCAGCACTTACTGCCTTGTACTTAACTGCCTCATTCCTCTGTTTTCTCCTTGGAGGTATAGATCAAGTTCTTTTCTTCTGTGTTTTGCTGACACTTGGGAGTCCCTTAATGAGTATTTGTAGACTAACTGTACTCCTGGAAGAAGGGAGGCCTGGAGGGTACAAAGACTCTCACATTATATGTAAGGTATTTATAAGGAGGACTGTGGTGAGCCCCACAAATGGATAGTGGAAATGATTTGGCTCACTGGGCACCGAGGATACAAATGGAATGGCCCACAGGGAGTGGAACTCTGATTTTCCTGTGCTATCCGGGAATTATTTTGATTGAAGAGCTGGGATTCTATTTTACAGAATCTTCCCTTTTAGAGCTGTCATATTGGTTTATGCTAATGGTATTGTTTTGGGGAAAAATCCTTTGGAATGAAGCACAACACCTAACAGGATTTACAGGTTTATTTTCCTTCCAACAGACTCTCTCTTCATAATTCCTACATTTTAGAGGCCAGGGAGTATTCAGTGTCCTGATTTGAGACTGAAAATAAAGTGTCTATTACAGCTCAAGGCCCTGGGACAAAGGGCCTCCTTTGGGGTTGGAATACTGTTTAGCTTTAGATCTCTTTTGAGTAGATTCTTGCATGATACACTTGCTTGGGAAAGAATGACTGGTTGATTCTGAAGTTAGGATGTTTGACCTGTATGCTTCCAAAAGAAGATGAGAAGGGAAAGCATTTGCTGTTTCAGGTTGGCTTCTCTGTAGGCGAAGGGATGCTTCGGGTCTTGAGTTGGCCTGTTAAGGGATGTGACCTTGAAAAACTCTTCCTGGTTCCACTTGGCATCTCTTCTTGCTGAGTTTTATGCTGAGTCTCCTGCTGCTATTTAGTTCGTTAATATCTTGCATGTCTTGAGGCACAGAAGGTGGAGGCTCTGAGCAGCGGAAGAAATGAAGGAAAGGGGAATGGTGAGAAGAGTAAGGAGGTGGAAATTCAAGGGATGAAATGAAAAGCCATCCAGTTTGTTTGTTTAGCCTTCGGTACTTAATGCATGCTTACAAAACAACATTTTACAAAAGAGTATATAGTGACAAGTAAATTTTTGTGCCTTTAGTTCACCCAGGGCTCCTTTCTAGTTGCTATCCACATCATCAGTTTTTTGTATATCCTTTCAGAAATATACATATAACATGCATGCACATAACATTTGAAACCTGAATTATCCGTGGCTTCTTTCTGTTATCTGTAGTCCCTGGTGTTGTAAATAATAAGGTTCACTTTAGCTGCAAAAGGTATTTGTGGCATTAGGATGGTGAATTGTCAGGGAGTTACCTGAAATGTCTTAGTATAAAACAGATGGTTGCTTTTTCTCCAGGCCAGGTGGGGGGAAAAATCCTCCTCATTTCACTTCAAGGGTTCCTGCAGACCAGGGCTGCATCAGGTAGCCCTCTTATAACTTGGAGAAATGCTGGGGTGCAGTTCCCTTGAGATGTAGAGCAGAGTCCAGGCCTATAAGAGCATCAGAATAGAGAGATCACAGAACTTGGTTTTAGCTTGTGTTCTTTTTGAGAGTGTTTCCTTAATATTCTGTAGAATGAAGTTAATGGTATGCTTAATAAATTGCTTTGAGACCTGGGATCCATAAGGCCGATACTTACAGCATCAAACATCCCAAGGCAAAAGATGGATGTTGTAGGGAACATTCCATTATCAGATTTTGGTTGTTTCTCCTTAGGGATGACAGCCATCTTTCTAGTGTCATCGTTTAATCCCAGGGCAGAGATAGATGAAGCCAGCCTTGTCCCATCCTCTGTAATGGAGGGACACGGGCATTCTGATAACCTGGAGAGCAGGTAATCCAAAAAATAATCTATTTGCCTTTGCTCTGTATTTATTTATTCTTTTTTTTAAAACATTCGTTTACCTTCCTAATTAAATTTTGCTTAGGTGAATATTAAAATGAGTTTGCATTCTTTGATCTGCTGTTATGGGAAATGGCTGGCATAACTGTGTTCAGGGAAAGCCAGTTTGGAGTTTAGAATTTTTGACAATAATTCGGATGCAGATAATCGAGAGTTTATTGCATAGAAAACCTGGTGTGTTACACTGACCTTTCTTCTCTTTACTTGGATGTAAATAAATGTGATGGAAAGTAAAGGAGAACTCACTACATTTTGGGTTGAATATTCAGGGCTTAGTATTTCTCCAGAAGTGGTCTGGGCTACGGGGTGAGGCATTCTCTTTGTTAATGAACCCGGGACCTTCTTGTGTGTTCTCTAGGTATGCAAGAATCCGTTGGCAGATGGCATATTCAGTCCAGCCACGTACATGCAGAAATCAATTTCCCTCAATTTAAAATGAGCCACAGTTAATTTCGACCTAATTTCTTGGTTTATCGACCTGTGAACCTTGGGCCTTCGAAGAAGTGGCATGGGCAGCCTTCTAGCATTGAAGTGTCAAATGATGCTAAAAACCAGAAAAGGCAGGGTGGGATACAGATCAAGATCAAGATTTGAGTTTTGTCCTATGTTATTGTGCGATGCTCAGGTTTTAAATTATGACATGAGGAATGCTTTGTGCATTTTGGGGTGGCTTCCATAGAAACAGGACTTCATTACAATCACAAGCACAATAGTGTGTTAAAACAGTAACTACAAAGTCCTGTTCCCCACTGGGTAATTGTTAATTCTAATGGTAACATCCATGCCGCTCTCACTGTTGCTAGCCAAGAGCTGGAAGATCCTATCTTCCTGGCCTCATGACGGATCCTCCAACATAAACTGTTCGCGAGATCTTTCTGTGACCATGATATTCTATTTTATAGCTGTGTTGTCCAGCACATCCACTAGCCAGATGGGTCCGTGGAGCAGTGGAAATGTGGCAAATGTGACTGAAGAATTGAATTTTCTTTCATTTAATTTTAATGAATTTAAATAGCAACATGTGGCCCCCAGGCTACTGTATGGAGAGCATGGCTTTGCCGGGTTGTGAGAGGCCTCTTTTTCTAGAGGTAGGCAACTTCTGCTTCCCCCAAGAGAGGAGTTACAGCAAAGGTCTGCATTTGTTCACATTGCAAACAGGGGGAGTGAAAGCAAGAGTGGAGGACTTTAGTGTAAACCCTAGGTGTCAGTGACTGCTGACAGCCAAGATGAGTGTGGGAGGCAGTGGCCCTTCTTTTTCCTAGGTCGGAATGCATCAGTGGACCAGGGTGGGAGGGGAGGGTGGCGAGACGGGGCGAAGTGGGTCCAGTGGTCATCTCTAGGGGATGCCCCTGCACGGTTGCTTCCTTCTCATCCCTTAGGCAGCAAGCAGCGAAGGCTGGCCATTCACAGGACTTACCTCTGTGCCTTCACCTGTCATCTAGCCTTGGGCAGGCAGCACACTTGTATCCGGACTTTGCTGAGGTGGTGTGCAGACCTGCACCTTCTGTTTGGCAGTGAAAGATGGAAACAGCGTCTTAACAGTGGGGCCATCTTCCTGCCCTGCCCTCGGCTTCCTGTGCTTGTAATGACTTACCTCGATGTAGCTGGGTCTGTCTTTCATCCCTTCAACCCGCCAGGCTGGCATGAAGACAAAAACTATAGCCGTGTGGTCTTCATCTTTGCATATATACCTCCTTCTCTTCCTGGCTGACCTTTTAGCTTAGCATGCCATTGCTGTTGCTGCCGCTGCAGGCTCTTAGCTTGGAAAATCAGGACCCTTCACGATGATTTATTTCCAGTCCCTTGAATTAGATTCAAAACACAGCTACGAATTCTCAGAAAGGTAAGCTGATGTGATTATATCCCAAATCTGACTGGCAGACAAGGGCAATAAAAAGATGCACGTATATCAAATGTGTTTTGTGCTATGTAGGGGCCAATATGTTGTTTATTATCCCCTCCTTTATTTTTTGGTTTTTAAATAAAGAAGGTCTGGTATGGACTCTATTATTTAGAAAAGAGACCAGCTTTTTGGGTAGAAATCCTGGGGGAAGATGACTAGGCTAGGGTGATTCTTATGTGAAGTAAATGTGGGCGTGGACCAATGAGTGGGCCTCCAGTCGGGATTTTAATATGTTAGTGGTATGAAGGTTCTTTGAGCCTGTGAGCTGAGTCATAGTGTCATGATGAAATTTTTAACTCTTAGGAAATCTCTGTGCCCAGAGGAATTGGGAAAAGACAGGATAATCTGATTGAGCCTTGAGGGTCTGGGTTAAAAGCCACCTGGGGACCAGACACTGACTCATGCCTGAATCCTAGCACTTTGCGAAGCTGAGGAGAGAGGGTTGCTTGAGCCTAGGAGTTCAAGACCAGCCTGGGTAACATAGTGAGATCCTGCCTCTACTAAAAATAAAAAAAATTAGCCAGGCATGATAGTGCATGCCCGTAGTCCCAGCTACTTGGGATGCTGAGGCAGGAGGATTGCTTGAACCCTGGAGGTCAGGGCCGCAGTGAGCCATAGTTGTGTCGCTGCTCTCCAACCTGGGTGACAGAGTAAGGCTCTGACAAAAAAAGAAAGGAAAAAAGTCATCTAAGGAGAAGAGCTAGTTCGGAGACTGTGGCGGAGACTTTACTGGGCGCCAATGAGATGTCAAGCTATGTAGTTAGGGAACCATATAGTGAAAGGCCCCATTTCTTTATTAGCTCAGGAGACACATGCGAGATAGTTCCATGAGGGTGTGCCCTGGAGTCTGGGACCTTGAGCTGGTCTGCTCAAGAATCTCAGCAGAGGAACTCCAAATGGCAGGGAGTGGGAACGGAACAGAGCCGGCGAGTGGCCTGTGAAACCAGGAGTGTTTGGAAAGACTTGAATGTTTTAAACCTGTGCTCAATTAATTGAGTAACCTGAGACTCTGGACCTTGTACTTACCTCATCTGTGTATATTTAGTCCCCTGAAATTCACTCTCTGCGTAGTTAAAAAAAAATCTTGCAGTTAACTGTGCACGTGGTTTGCTGAATTTGGCAAGGTGTGATGGGAGAGTTGCCGCAGAAACAGGGCCTTGAATCACTAGAGGAGAAAAAGGGAGAAGTGGATGTGGTGAGTTGGACAGTGAAAGAGCTATCAAAACAAAGGTGGGGGAAATCATCTGTACGCCTGTGGGGCATTCACCCAGGTCTTGCCTCCTCCTGGAAACTCCGGGGCATCTACTGAGAAATCGGCCATGCTGCTGGGTTTGATATGCTGTCCCCTCTCCTTTGTAGCCTCTTTCACAGGGTGGGCAAGAAGCCACTGGTATGGTCTTGAGGCCTTCGGTGCTGGGATGTGTCGAAATGCTTTCCCTTGGGGTTAGGGAAGTGCTAGAAAACAATGTCGCCTCTGGATCGGACCCTTGGGGACCCCAGGTTTCTGAGTTCAGCTGTGGAATGATGAGAAAACTGCCTGAGAGCTTCATTTGGCCACTAGCTCTGAGTGTGACTCAAGCATGAAGTTTTTGTCATTTTATATATGTCATTGCTTGCTCTTAGGCCTCATACTAATGTTAATGTTTTATGTGAAGCCATTTTGTGAAGAATGGCTTATTTTGGTAGAGAGCCATTTGGTAATGAAAAGAAATGTTTTAGCACGTTGAAGTTTATGAAATGACATTCATGGGTTACATCTCATTTGATTCTTACGAGGGTCTTGAAAAATTGGGAAGAGTTATTATTAATCTCATTTCACAGATGAATATCTTGAGGCTCAAAAAGGTGAAGTGACTTACCCACAGTTAGACAGCTAGTAAATCGAAGACACCGACTCAAACCAGACTCTGACTTGTTTCGAATTTACTGAGGCACGTTTCTCTCTGGCTAAGTCATCTGGTGAAATCTTTGCTCTCAGGCAGGGATCCACAACTATTTTCTGTGAACTTTTTTCTTATGTTTTAAACCTAGGAAGAGATCTTATACAATTTTACCCTCTTCTGGTCTTTCCTGGCCATGCTGGTCTTTTGACTTCTCAAATGCAGTAGGTCCCAAGTCCCTTCTGCTCCTGGATTTTGTTCTGCTCTTCTTCAAGTCTGGGTTCTTTCCTCTGCCTCCCCTCTTCATCCCCTTCCCTGACTCCTCCCTCTTCATCCTTCTGGGATCAGAACAGGTCAGGTCTTCAGTGAAGCCTCACTTTTTCCCCCACATGAGGTTGAGGTTAGGTCCCCTGTTTCACAGCAGTTATTCAATCAGCATTCCTTGAATTATTTGTTTGTTTGTTTTCCTTACTATATTAAGAACCCTGAGGCAGGACCTAGAAGTCGGCTGTAGCATCTGGTATATAGTAAGTGCTCAATAAATATTTATTGAGTGAGCAAGGTGAAGGGCTATTTATGGTGAAGCTACAGAACCTAACAGGAGAGTCAGGGAAAGTGGATGGTCGGGAAGCATCCCAAAGGGCTCAGAGAAACGGTTTTGGATTCTACAGGGAATGCTCTTGTGAGGTGAGTTCTGGCTTGGGGTGGTCAGCAGCCGTGAACACTGTGGAGGGGTGCATGCTGTGCTCTTGCTCTGCTTGTGTGCCCTGCACTGGGAGCCTGTTTTCATTTTATTTTATTTTTTTGAGTTAGAGTCTCACTCTGTTGCCCAGGCTGGAGTGAAGTGGCACACTCAGAGCCACCCCAGCTTCAACCTGCTGGGCTCTGGTGGTCTTTCTGCCTCAGTCTTCTTTTCTTTTTTTTTGAGTTGGAGTCTCACTCTGTTGCCCAGACTGGAGTGCAGTGGCCGCTCCCGGCCACCACAGCCTCAACCTGCTGGCTTTGGCGATCCTTCTGCCTCAGCCTTCCAAGTAGCCGGAATTATAGGCATGCGCTACCCCGCCCGGCTGATTTTTGATTTATTGTAGAGATGAGGTCTCACCAAGTTACCCAGGCAAGTCTCGAACCCGCGGGCTCAGGCAATCCACTCACCTCAGCCTCCCAAGGCGCGTGATTACAGGCTGAGCCACCGAGCCCGGCTTGCCTCAGTCTTCTAAGTAGCCAGAACTATAGGCGTGTGCTACCACGCCCAGCTAATTTTTATTTTTTATTGTAGAGACGAAGTCTCGCCAAGTTGCCCGGGCTGGTCTCAAACTCATGGGCTCAGGCCATCCACTCACCTCGACCTCCCAAAGTGCTGGGATTACAAACTGAGCCACTGAGCCCGGCCATTGGCCCTGTGTTTTAAGGTAATATGAAACACTAGCTCTAAGTTTTTCTCTGAGCTTAACCTCATTTGCAGAATATAACAGTTGATTTAGCTGCTCTCTCAGATGCCTTCTGCCTTTGATACTTTCCTATTTTTCTTGCTTACCACCTGATAAATTAAGGGTGATAGTATGTTTATGACAAAGACATTTTCACAGCTTCTTTTAAAATAGGGAGTCTCTTCTGGAACAGTAAAGCATGTTGGCTCTATGACAGGGTTGGTTCACCAGGACAGAGTGTCACAGAGAGGAGAGGTTCTCTCTGCCAAGGATCAATCAAGAAGGAAAAGAACTGATATTGTAACTCAGTGAGAATATGATTATTGTCTTTTTGGTAAAGAGAAAGAAAAAGGCATTTTTTTTGAGTTGGAGTCTCACTCTGTCGCCCAGGCTGGAGTGCAGTGGCACCCTCACAGCTACCGCAGCCTCGACCTACTGGGCTCAGGCGATCCTTCCGTCTCAGCCTTCCAAGTAGCTGAAACCACAGACACGTGCTACCACGCCCGGCCAAGGCATATTTTAAAAATCTCTGCAGAGGTTATGACTCCAGGGAAGGAGATGGTAGTGATGCTAAGATCTAGTCCAACGTCATTCTCTCTGTTTCCTCATCTGTAAAATGGGCAGTCTGAGCTGATTGGCAAAGTAGTTAATGAGTTCTTGAGCAAACAAGAAAGTCAAGCAAGTGAGTTATGATTCTGTGAACAGGGACTCTCTTCAGGGAGTGCTCATAAACTAGATTTCAGCTCCCCTTCTGAGGTGGAGAGTCCAAGGAGGATAATAAGCTTGCTAAATATAGTGAGAACACAGTCTTGCAAAGGGACATTGAGAGGCGATTTGCATACCTAGCATTTAGGCCATGCGAAGGGATGGTTTGAGAAGGCCTTGTTATTCTTGGACCACAGGAGTCTGTCTTTGGTTTCCGCAGGCGTGTCATGTAGTTCAGGGGATTTAGTGGCTGTCTCCATCCTCCCAGTTGAAGGACAGGATATTTGTTTCGTACCACGTTGTAGAATTTTAAAAATGCTTCTTTGTATCTCACTGCTAGTGAAGCAGAGAAATGAATCAGACTGCTTTACTTGTCGTCCTCGTACTGTGCTCTGGAAGGAAGCTGTGTAGGAGTTGTGAGGACCGCAAGCTGTGGGTGTCTAGGACATCCTGATCTTTGGATTTGACCAATGTGAAAGAGGTAATGACAGAAGGAACGAATGGAGAGAGTATCCTTGACCCATTCCCTTGAGGGGTCCCTGTCCTCCTGAGTAAGCCTCAACAGCTCTACCGATTTTGATGGTTTTATTGAAAACTCCTCCTTGTTTGTTAAGATTCGGGCAACCCTGATTTCCCCCAGAAGTGCTCAGTGTGCTCTAACAGGTAG